AAAAGCCATGCCATCAAAAGCTAGATTTAATAAAATTAGTCATTTTTATTATTTTTTCTTTTTACTGTGAGTGCTGGGAGCTAAATAAATACAGTGACTACTATTTCAGTTTGGTGCTGCTGCTTTTATTCATGCAGAGCCAACAATAGTTTTACCCACTATTGCTTTTACATCAGCAGTGTAAATGTCAACACAGTAAAAAAGTAAATAACAGCTTCGTATTGTTATCAAATTCTTCTACACAGACCCTCTGAAAAATTACTGGAGATTCCCAAGGGATCCGTAGACCCACTTTTAAGAACTGTGGCTATAAAGTATCTTAATCCTTAGTCAGTCTTCTCCATAAGAAGTCCCCAAATCTGCTTAGTGTCTCTTTTCTATTTCTCTTCCCACATCAAGTGTTAACTCTTGTTAACCTTCTTCTGGATTGTCCTTAGATAGGCTTACATGCCCAGGGCATGTATCAAGGCTTCCTGACATGGGACCCAGATGTAGGTGAGAAGCTGAATTCTAGCCTAGGCTCCATGAGACATGGATTTGGGTGGTGTCCTCCAGAGGAAGGCGCACCTTTTATTAATGTGAATGAAGCTGTAGTACAAGCCTTGTAATTGCTTATTTCACTTCTGTTATTCTTGATCCAACTCAGTCCTACTTATAGACTACCTCTAAAACACAAATGTGACGATACTACTCTCATCTCGAAATGCCACTGAAATAAGAACTCTCAATTTGGAATCCAAGGTGCCCCTGATGGTTACCAAATTAGATACAGGACTTTAAATTTTAATTTTAGATAAAACCAAGTAATGCTTTAGTATTAAGTATATCCCAAATATTACATGGGTATAGTTATACTAAAACATTATTCATTATTTATATAAAATTCAAGCATGTTGGAGCTCCGATATTTTTATTAGCTATTTTAATTTACCCCAATATTCTCACAATAAGCTTCTATCAGTTAGGGCCTTCAGTTTTCTCAAATAGCCCCCCCACCCCTAATTGCTTATCTCACCTCTTTGTTCAGACTCTCATTCTGCTTAGAATACCCTCTACCCATCTTTCTCTGTCCAAAATTCTACCATGTCTCAATGGCCAGAAGCCTTTACCAATGGCTCCAAGTACACATAGTTTCTGCCATCTCTGAGCCACGGGCACTTGGTATGTCTCCCAAGGTAACTTACTTCTTCTACTTCATGTTTAACTATGGGCAGAGGTAGCTTCTCTTGTCTCCTCTATTAAAATGTGAGCTCTGCAAGGATAATTATTGCCACTGTTTTGTTCCTGCAGTGGCTAGTAGTGACCTTCTGCACATATTTTATGTCAATACACAGTCATTAGGGTGCCAGTGTTTTAGCCCATCGTGTTTTTAATAACTATTTTTAGTATTAACTGAAAACAATAAAGGGTGATTCGTTGGCTGGTTAAGATCCCATATTTGTAATATTTCAGATAAAAAACAATAGAGGCTGAATAACATAGAATTATCCATTGTGATTAGGCAATTCTCATAAGATAATAGCTAGAGTATCTCAGAATGTGTAATGGATCAAAAATATTATTATATCTCTCCATTGTACTTGATATGGTGAGACTATGAGGCAATTATAAAGTTTTCAAGAATGTTTTAACCCTGATGGAGGAAGGAATAGTGCTATTCTTTCTCCTTTCACTTCTATCACCCCCTTTTTTTCCTTAGCACTGTCATTCTTGCTTGACGCCTATACATGGGGTCTGCCATTCCCTGTGCAATTATTAAGCAATAGGATCATTAACTGAGAAACAGATGTGGCAGAGGAAAGCAAGCAACGCTTTCAAGCCTGTAGTCACTCATGCAGAAAAATGTCTTCTAAGAGAGAATATGGCAATGCCTGGAAAAGTGAATATCTAGGGAACTGGACAGAAGTAATTAAGCACCATAGAGATTACCAGAACTTCTAGTGATAATAGCTGGACTATGGGAAAACTGGTGCTAGTTTCTGGCCATAGAGTGATGTTGAAATGTCCAACCTGTCTTCTTTTTCCTCATATCATTTAGTATTTGCTTTCTTCCTAGGTGCATAAGGAAAATGTTTTTATCCATTTGAAGGTAAATGTAGATACCCTGCTCTTCAAAGGAGCTAGCTACAGCACAACTACTGAGATAACAGGCTTGGTAGTTCTATAGTGATGCTGGTCTGTCCTGCTACTATGCACTGGTCAGTGACACTCTCCACCATCTATGGCCAGAAGTGGTCAATGAAATCCAAAGATGATTCATTCTCTCCACACTGAAGGGTTCCTAGAATGTCATGGATGTCTTTAAAATTTAATATGGCAAAGCTGTAAGGGCTCAGGGGAGTTGAGTCAAATGTCCGGTCTAAATATTTTCTCACAGTGTTTCCTAACTGTGCTTAGCAATATCAGCAGGTGGGAAGATAATTTTCTCATCCCAACACATGACATTTCTTGGTCACTTCATATAATTCAAAACTCCTTTAGCGGGATGTTAACTTTAATGGGCTTGGAAGGAAAACTATTTGTCAAGATTAATGTATTTCCGAAGGGTGGCTCAAGACATAATAAGTGTGTTTAATGTAGCTGTAATACTCCTGACTTCAAGTTCTATTGCTTCAGGAATTTATCTCTCAGGTTTCTCATCATTCATCTCCTCTGCCCAACAATCTTTCCTCCCCACTCTTTAATTCTTCTTTTTTATTGCTTACTTTAAACAGGAAAAAACTAAAATGCTAGTTTTAAAATAAATAAGGCTATAGTAAATTAGTTGAACTGAGCACCCTTTAAAAGAAAAAGAATGATCATTTGTTGGTTTCTGGCAAATACAGATAATGTGATTCCTTTTTGTTAGACCAGTGGTCATTAGTTTCAAATACATGATAAGACCTTTCTGGCATATATACTTGTGTGTTTGTTTTAAACCTTTACTTTGTCTACTACATCTCATGTTACTATATATTGAAAAAAATATCAAAATCTAACTTCCATGTCTTAGAAAACCAGTAAGAGAAGGCATTTAAATTTTTTTTCTGAACTTATGTTGTTAGTTGCTAAATAGAAATGCTAGCCCTGGATTCCTTTAATTCCTACCAATGAAATCTTGAAGGAAATAAAACTTTTGGTCTGTTGAAAAGCATGAAGTTTCTTCTTTGTGCCTCTTGATCTAATTCTAAATTCAATTGCAAGGCATCTCAGCTCAGAGGTCTTTCATCTATACAAATCCATTTATCATCTTGAAAAAAAAAAGGAAATTATCTTTATAGACCCAGAATGAGAGGCAATAAGTCTGCATGTAAAAGGCACAGGTCCTACACTCAGAGGGAAAGATTTGAATCCTGCTCCTGACAAAACCTGGGTTAATTACTTAGCTACTCTCAGCTCATATTTCCTTTATGCAATCTGTGGCTAATAATATTTACCAAGGGAAGTAGTAAATAAATATTCAATAAAAGCAAGCCGGTGCAATTTAATAATCTTGGCTTCAGCTATCCCTTGTGATGTTAATAAAAATTATTCATCCCCGTGTGTATATAGCAAGTATATTTTGGACTCAAGGAGCACAGCAACATCCACTGACATGCAGGTTGTTGATAGTGCCTCTGTTAGGGGCAACCTGGGACTTGGTGAGACGGTGGCCCGTGTTTAATGTTAAGAGCTAAAGCAGCATGTACATTTTTTCCTCTGGAGTTCAAATCGGTGTGAAGGTGAGATTCTGGGCCCTTCCATGGGGACTGGAAATTTGCCACGTGATGTTGATCCTGATCATACAAACTAAAAATGGCATTTGAAGTTAAATGGTTGTATAGAGTTGTCATTGTGTTTGATATGAGCCTCCCTCAGATGAGAACCTTGCAGAATCATGTAGAAAAGATAGAAATGTGTTGGTGAAAGCCTTTTACATGCTGTGTCTGTACATTTAGAAGTAAATCATGGTGCTCTTCCTGCTGTTTGGGACTCTGTCTGTTGACATTAAAATGTCCTCACAACTTATAAAAATCATTAAGGATTCCATTTGCACCTCCCCAGGGGGAATTTAAGAAATAAAACCATGCCAGCCAGAGCACATTTCAAATATTTACAGAACTGTGCTTTCTCTCCAGGCAGTGCTCTGGCAATGGCCCTCTGAGAAATTAGTGTCGACACAAAATGGCCCTCCCCAAGGCCAGCATTTTATTAAGGAAAGTTCAGAGTTACTTCTTTCTCCATTGTCCCCCAGACCCCTGATCTCTCCACCTCTAATGATCATGACAGAGAACAAAGAAGAGAAAGGAAAAGGAGAAGAATGGAAGAAGAAGGCAGTAGAAAGGAACAAAATTGGAAGAAAAGGGAAGGAGAAAGAAAAGGGGGAAAAGAGACTGGAATTTAGCAGTTGCTCAGTGAATAGTGACGATGAACTAAGCCTGCGTGGGCACATTTATACTCTGATTCTTAGCAGAACTGAAGTTTCATTGACAAGGGACAAAAAGAATAATGGTGACTTCTAAGTATGCTCTATGAGAATAGGATGTACAATAGAAATTCTAATGCCACTAAAGATAACTCAAGAAACAATGAGCTCCTTTTGAAGCATGAAAGAGTGAAGTTTGACACAAAGACACCTTCTTAACTGTAAAAGTTGTGAATACGAAGATTAGTGGCAAGAATTTTGGAATTTCTCTCCCAGAAGAATTTTTTAAATCAAATACATTTTTACCTTTTTAGGATGGTCAGGAAAGCCTATATGCAGGTAGAGGCAGGCACATCGAGCTCTGTGAAATCTGACAGAGGAAAGGAAACTGTGGATATTGGGGGAAACAGCAAGGAAAGGAGGCACAAATCAAGATTCAGTGAGGGCTTCATGCCTAGGCCCAAGATATGTGCTAGATAAGCATTCAGAGGTTTCCTTCCCCCTTGGATCACCAGATTGATATTGTTCTAGAAACATATCAGCTGGTGTGAGCCAGCACCAGACCTCAGAACCCAATGTCTCTGTCACTGAACTTGTCACTGTTCTCAAATGGCAGGCATCACCACGGTGCTGACCATGTCCACGATCCTCAGCGGTGTGAGTGCCTCCATGCCCCAGGTGTCCTACATCAAGGCCGTGGATGTGTACCTGTGGGTCAGCTCCCTCTTTGTGTTCCTGTCAGTCATTGAATATGCCACCGTGAATTACCTCACCACAGTGGAAGAGC